AGGTCTGTGCCGCTGCTCAATGCAGCTTGGTCTGCGTTGTAGAGCAGTGGTCGCCAACCCGTGGTGCGTGAGGTCCGGACGGTTGGCGCCCGCTGTCGTAGACTTTAACACGGGACCTCCCCACAGCCCTCCCCTCACGCCCCCCAGTGCTGGAGGCCGAGCTCACGCGTCTCTCCTCCTCCACAGCTCGTCACCGCCACCCTGGACGGCAAACTCCAGCTGTTTGTAGCCGAGTGACGGGCTCGGGCCCGGCTGGGGCTGCTGCGTCTGCGCCCACAGCCCTGGTTCTGCTTCTCACGGGACCCACGGGCCCACAGACCCACGGCGCTGCCCTTCCACGCAGAATCGGTGACGTTAAAGCCGACGTTCCCAATAAATAGCCTCGTATTTGCTTACAATCGAGACTCTGCAGAGAGTGAATGAGAGAGAGACAGAGAGACGGTGGAATGGGAGGGCTCCCTTGCGGTGGTGACGGGGTGCAGCCCTGACTACGCCCCGAGTCGGGCACCGGCCTCTCCTGTGGCCTCTGTGTCTGTGAGGTTTGCTCTGGTCCTTCCGCCCACGGTGCTGGCTGAGCCAGTGCAGAGGCCCCTCCTCAGACACAGGAGTTTCCGGGGAGCCCTGTGCACGGCCCTGCCTCTGAAGGTCCCACGTGTCCAGGACCCAGAGGAGCCAGGAAGCTTCTAGAACAATCCAGATCCCAGTGTCTGACACCCTGGCAGCCACCGTGTCGGGGCCTCTGCGGGCAGCCTGCCCTCACCCGGGAGGCCCAGTGTCACCCACGCTCTGGGGACCCAGGGGGCTCCCGTCCACCCAGGCCCTGCACCCCGGGTCCACCCCCCCACCCCGGCCGCCTCCTGCCCCCTGTGCGCCTGCCATCTCTACCCAGGAAACACTACGGGCTCCAGCCCCGGCCCCTGGTCGTCACACAGACCACAGTGCACACCCTTTTCTTACAAAGTTTGTGAGAAGCAATATTTAGAATAACTCATTCTTATTTTTCTAAGATCTAGAGTTATCCAAACATTTTATCCATTTATAGTATACCCTTTATAAACATTTTTGTCATTTTTTAATATTCCAGGTGTAAACTTTTTTCCCATTTATGAATTTCCCCCTGGAAAACCCATTTAAAGGCATTTGTTCCACATACAAAAGTCATGGGCATGTGGGGCTCTGGTGGAGCGGGAATGGGCAGGCCGGCGCCAGAGTGCAGGCGTGAAGAGAAGACTGTACATCCTTGTCCAGGTGTAGGCGCCAGAGTGAGGGGGGCCTCGGTGAGAGAGGACCCACGGATGCTTCTGGGTGGGGGTGGGGGTAGCCAGAGTCCCAGGTGGGCCCGGGTCTGTGGGGGACAGTAAGGATCTCCACCGGTGATTCCAGAGCCGCCTATAGTCTGGGAAAGCAGGTTTACCTGGCCATCGTCCCATTTCACAGGTGGGTAGACTGAGGTGCGGTGTTCCTGGGGATGGGCTTGTGTCAGGGCGGCCGCTTCAGCAGTGGGGCGAGTGGAGAGAAGACAGTGCGGAGGCTGCGGGCACGTCCACGGGGAGGGGCTCTGTCCTCGGGGGCCCGGCCTCCGGTGGGGAAGGAAGGAGACAGCTCGGTCTAGACGTGCAATCAGCCAGGAAGGTCCCTGTGGTGGTTGAAGGGTGTCGTCCTCCATGGCCTGGGCCGTGGGCCGGCATGACGGTGGTGCTCGGTGTGTGTAGGCAGGCGCAGTGTGACCGCCCACGCCTTGCTGCAGAGCGTGGCTCCAAGGCATGGAATAAGTGACAGCTCGTCTCTGACATCTGTTCACAGGCATTCTTTTCAGATGTGGTGCTCATTGCTTTTCCTTTTTTTTTTTTTAAATTGATTTCAGAGAGGAAGGGAGACGGGGAGAGAGAGAGAGATCCATGACGGGAGAGAATCATGGATGGGCGCCTCCTGCACGCCCCACACTGGGGGTCGAGCCCGCAACCCGGGCCTGTGCTCTGACCGGGAATTGAACCCAGACCTCCTGGTTCCTAGGTCGATGCTCACCCACAGAGCCACGCTGGCCGGGCGAAGCCCATTCCTCTTCATTCGTAGAACTGGCTCACGCTTCACACTTTGGGGAGAAGGTGCCCAAGTATTTTCCCGCGGAAGGTGCTCTCATCCGTGTTCTGCAGGTGACGTGTGTCCGGTGGAGGAGGCGTGTGGTGTGATAAGCAGACACGGCAGGTGCCCTCCTGGGCCCAGGCTTCGGGCACAGCCCAGCCTCATCAGCGGCGACCTCGTGTTGGTGTGAGTGGATGGAGCCGATGAAGCGCCCGTACCCACTGCCCGGCGCTCACCGACACGGCAGCGTCACGGGGCTCCGCCAGGCGTGGCTTCCAAGGGCTTTGTGTGCAGTAACTCCGCCTTCTGCCTCCGTCCTCTTATCTTTCCTTCCTTCCTTTTCTTTCTCACGAAAAACCGTTTGTGCCACTTGGTCTCATGGCCAAATTACAAGCGACTGCTCGTGTGTGTTCCCGCTGCGTCTCCTGCGTCTCCCGCGTCTCCCGCGTCTCCCGCTGCTGTTCCCAGTGTGGGGCCCAGCGCCCTCCCTGCCTGCCCCACTTCCTGCAGGTTCAGCTCCTCTCGGTCAACCGAGTTCCAAAACAATGAAATGGAAAATTCCAGAAAGTTTTCTCTCTTTTTAAAATATATTTTATTGATTTTTACAGAGAGGAAGGGGTAGGAATAGAGAGTTAGAAACATCGATGAGAGAGAAACATCGATCAGCTGCCTCCTGCACACCTCCCACTGGGGATGTGCCTGCAGCCAAGGTACATGCCCCTGGCCGGAATCGAACCTGGGACCTTTCAGTCCACAGGCCGCCGCTCTATCCACTGAGCCAAACCGGTTAGGGCTCCAGAAAGTTTTCAATCACTCGCCATTCTGAACAGCGTGATGAACCCCCATGACGCCCTGGGGACCTGGCTCACTCCTTGGCCCGGCGTCCCCCCGGCACCCGCTCAGCTGTTTGACACCCATGGGCGTCGGTGCTGAGAGCGGCGGCAGTGCCAACCCGCGCTCGTTCCTGTGTCTCCCACACGTCA